TGTTCTGTTCTTTACATGGTTGCTATGAATTGGAGCTGACTTGATGGCACTGAGCAAGAGCAAGAATAGTCCTTAGTAGATTCCTTTTTTTGGAAAAGGATTATACACATGACATGTTAGTAATCTAGGGGAAAAAATGTCCAAAATGCAGATGAGTAATAAAAGGAAAAAAAAATTCCCAAATCCTACTCCACAAAGATTTACACCCTCGGAAACCCTGTACAGGGTCGCTATGGGTCGGAACCGACTCGACGGCACTTAACAACAACAACAACAACTCCAGAAAGATAACCTTGGATTATATTTTGGTGTGTGTTGCATAGTGGTTACAAATCGGGCTGCGAACCTCATAGTCAGCAGTTCGAAACTACCAGCTTTTCCGCAGGAGAAAGATGAGACGTTCTGCTCCTGTAAAGATTTACAGGCTCGGAAACCCTGTACAGGGTCTCTATGAGTCGGAACCGACTCCACGGCACATAACAACAACAACAATGCTTTACCTCACCTCTTATTTTATCTCCATATCTGTACATGCTAAAATATACGTGGATGCATGCTATCTGACTCCCATTTCTTAAACCTGCTTTTACTTACTATGTTGTAAATAATAGGAATCTCTGTTCTGAATTTTAAGGGCTATTTGGGTACTTCATTGTAGGGCAGTACTGAAACTTTATATATAATCAATCTTTTATTTAGGATTACTATTCAGGATTATGACTACTTTTGCCTTTCTGTAAAAAAAAATTAATATGAGCTTGTCAGTATACTGCTTTGGAGAAACCCGTAGAAGTGGAATTGCCAAGTAAAAGTGATGTCCATTCTTAAGTATTTTGGTAGTTAATTTCAGAGTATGCTCCAAAATGATTAAAAGCCAAGTCCATAGACATAAAAATAAACTCTTTCCATGTGTATATTTAAGGAGCTCTGGTAGCGTAGTGGTTACGAATCGGGCTGTGAATCTTAAGGTCAGCAGTTCGAAACTACCAGCTGTTCTGCGGGAGAAAGATGAGGCGTTCTGCTCCTGTAAAGATTTACAACCTCGGAAACCCTGTACAGGGTTGCTATGAGTTGTTTCCGACTCCACGTCACATATCCACCACCACTATTCTCCAAAATGGTTCCTCCAGCTCACTGTATGATAGTTTATGCCCATCCATTGCAAAAACTTGAGGGATCTGACAAACCAAATCTTATGAGTATCCTCTCTAAGAGTGGAAACAACTTTGATAAATATTCAGTAATCCCAGTATAGTTCTTAGATTAAAAGCAATTTCTTTTGAGTCAAGTCCAACTCTTGTTAGAGTAGAATTTTGCTCCACAAGGTGTCTAATTGCTGGTTTTTCAGAAGTAGGTAGCCCAGTCTTTCTTCTGAGTTACATCTGTGTGTACTCAAACCACAAAGCTTTTGGTTCACATCTGAACATGTTAATTGTTTGTACCACGTAGGGACTCTTAATTTGTACTTCACCGTTTTTAAATCTGTTATCTCACTTTTGAATCTAAAAGTCAGGGTAATTGTTTTTGTCTAAAAACTGAACTTGGTTTCGTGGGAAAAGTTATCTAAGGACTTGTGTGTGAGTTAAAATGAACATTTGGTATTTACACATTTAGCAAAAGGTGAAATAAATTGTAAAGCTTTTTTCCTTAAACAAGAGAACAGATAAGAAAAGGAATGTGTAGTAAAAGGGAATTCTAGGAATAGTCCTTAACCTGAACGCTCCTGTTACCGTTTTACTTGTATATGTTTTTTAGCATATGCATTTGGCCCCTTATAACTGTTGGTATTTAATTACTCTTAATTGGAATATGTGGCTTCTTGATGACTAATGTGATGTCTGATTTTAGAGATTCCAGCGACCACTGGGTTGCTGCCTTTTAATTAGTGTTAGGTGCCGTTGAGTCAGTTCCAATTCATAGTGAACCATGTACAGGGTTTCTGAGGAGTGGCTGGTTGTGGTTGAACCGCCAACCTTGTGGTTATAGTCCAGTGCTTACCCTACAGTGCCACACCAGGACTCCAAAGAGTAAGTTGTTGTTAAGTGGCATCGAGTTGGTTTCGACGCATAGCGACCCTATGTAGCGTTTCCAAGGAGCAGTTGGTGGGTTTAAACTGCCGATCATGTGGTTCGCATTACAGTGCTGATCCTATAACAGCATGCTAGGAGTCCAAGAGGAAGTAGGAACTTGATGTTTTAGATCAGTGTTTCTTAAGCATAGGTCATTGGACATTTTTGAGAGTAGGAGGAAAGTCCATGAGAATTGTCCCTCTTGAATGGGACTCTTGTACCCCTCCTGACCAATGTACCCTCATGAACAGCCAGCGCTCATCTGTCACAGAGTAGTGTTTGCTGCTGTGATGTTGAACCAGTTACAGAGGAGCTGGCAGAGTAAGGTGGTCTAGGAAGAAAGTCTTAGAGATCTGCTTCTGAAAACCTGCCAATGAAAGCCCTGTGGATTACGAGGGGTCAATTCACACGTGGTCTTGGATGATGGAGGACACACAGTGTGTTCCTCTGTACTTGGGGTCATGATGAGTCAAGACTAACTCCTCAACAGCAGCTAATAAGAACGTAGTGTTGAAGTCCCAGAAACGCTACTTAGATTTTGTATGCTAGAGCAGCAAAAAATGGTATTCCTGTGTTAGAAAATGTCATGTTTTATTTTATTGAATTTTCTGATTTTTCTCCCCTTGACATTTTTCCGAGCCCATATTAACTGAGAACTGCTTAGCAGAAAATAAAATTGACTGTCTGTGAAGTATAAATCTTCATTCCAAGTAACAAGAAGATTCAGCCTAGTTTTTTTTTTGTTGTTTCATAAAATTACCCATAGATCATGTGGGTGCTGTAGAGACCTAGAAGGGAGAAGCAGGGCATGAAAAAGGGCAGAACGAGAGGTTAAATTCAGGGAGGGTGTTTATTATTTATGGAGGGGAGACTAACTAACTTGGCTCTGCTTGGTTGCTAATTGCAAGATTGGAGGTTTGAGTCTAACCTAAAGGTACTTTAGGGGAAAGTCCGAATCTTCTAAGAAACCAGTCATTGAAAAGACCCTGTGGAGCACAGGTAGAGTCCACGTGTGGTGCTGCAGGACAATGTGCTGGACCGCAAGGTCAGTTTGAATCACAAGGTTGGTGGTTCAAATTCACCAGCGCTCCTTGGAAACTCTAGACAGGGTGACTATGAGTCAAACCTGACTCAACGACACTTAACAACAACAACGGAACACACTTGTACTCTTCACACAAGGGGTCAGCATGAACTCAATGACAACTTTTGGGTTTTTGGTATTTTGGTTTATGGATGGGGATGAGAGAGTTAGGAATTTTGCCAGAGCCATATGGAAGCCGTGGATTGCACGTTGTTCATTGTTGTTAAATGCTGTTGAGTTGGCTGAAACCTATGTAGGGTTTCTTCACTGACGAGCAGCTGGTGAAATTGAACTGCTGACCTTGTGGTCAGCAGTCCGGTGCTTATATCCTACAGTGCCACACCAGAACTCCCCTTATTATTTCTGGACATGTTTTCATCTCCATGGAATGTGTCCTTTGTTATAACTGAAACTAACTGACTGGCAACTGATTTCAAAAAAGAGGGAGAGGAACGTCTTTGAATAGACTGTTGTTTTAAGGAGCTTAGACCGATGTCATAAACTTGCAGTGATCCGTAGGAACAACACAGGCCAGGCGGTCCTGCCCCTTCTGTCATTTGTTTAACTTCATTTAAGATTGCTTCATACAGTTAATTTTTTTCAGAAGATGTATTTTTCTAAAATGTTAGGTAGAAGTGAAGTGGATGTTGACTTTCGAAGGAAACTGAAAGACACTTGACCCAGCGAATGTAGTTCACCTTTTAAAAACCTCATACAACAGCGCTGTAAGATGAAGCGATCTGGTATAGAGTGAAGCCCAGACCAAGCCCCCAAGGATCCCTTACTGTAAAAATGCAGACCTCTCACCTGGGAAAGAGGTCTGTTAACCCACTGACATCTGGTAGCATCTTGCTTCAAGGACAAGGCCACACAGACACTGAAAAGGGGAAACTCTAGGAACAGAACATTGGCAATCTTGTGAAGGATAGGACTAGTCCTTAAGGTTTTATTGTGCACCAGATTAGAGACTGAATTTCTTCCTTGTGGTTTTATTTCTGTTTCACCCCATCTAGGATGGGGACAGACGTTGGGACACAGAGTACGTACTACTTAGGATGAAACTCATTCCCGTTTAGCATTATTGTAATTTGTTAACGGGACTTTCAGAGGTGTACTGGTAAAGAAGTGAAAAGTGACTGTTGAGGACGGTGGCCCTGGCAGACCATTCTAGACCTTTCTATTCAGCTTCACCCAATCTGACATGATGGATTTGGTCTAACAGTGTCTCCCAATGGCCTACTTACTTAGCTAAGTAATTTCCAAGAGATGCAAGTTTATCCTCATTTAACAAAAGAGGAAACAGACTCACATGTGTTAACTAACATGCTCCAGGGTCCTCAAACCAGAAAATGCTCAAACCAGGCTTTGGATCCATGTTTATTTTACTCCAAAGCCATAAAAATTCCTTGACAAGTGATAAAGGACCATGGAGTCCTGGTGTGGTGCTGTAGGATAAGTACTGGGCTGCAGGTCAGTGTGAACCATAAGGTCAGCAGTTCAAACTCACCCAGTGCTTCTTGGAAGCAGCCCTATACAAGGTCGCTATGAGTTAGAACCAACTTGATGGTACTTATCAACAACAAATCCCCTCCATGCCTTTTTGGCTAAGTCTGACCAATGCACATGTCTGCAGTTTACAAGAGCCAAGGAGACCAGCAAAGCAAAGGCAGAGTGGGTTGGGTTTCTGAACCCCTTGCTCATTTTAGTTAGCTTCGGGGTGCCCTTGGGGATTTTGCTAATTTCTGTGGTTCTTGTACTTGCTAACTGGCATAGTTGGTTTGCACTACTGCAGTGAAATAGCACCCGTTGTTTCCTCTGTGTGACCAATGTCCCTTTTCCACAAACAGCATGCTGCAGACTTGGAAAAGAAGCAGAATGAGACAGAAAACAGGAAATTGCTGGGGACTGTCATTCAGTATGGCAATGTGATCCAGGTAGGTCCCAGTGGCCCTTTTCTCCTGGAGCTGAAACATCCTAGGAATGGAATGGAGAAAACAACACATGAAACAGGATTTGGCTGCCTTCATAGTAGGACTCCGTGCAGACAGCTGATTCATTGCAAGGGATCAGTTCCCTTTGTTGTACATGATAGAGTCTCAGGCTGTTTAGTTATGGGAGAATCATTTCCCCTCACCATCGCTGATAATTTAACCTGTGAGTTAAGAGCATAGCCTCTTAAGAGAATGCCAATTCAGATTTTGTGATTTACCTAGCTGTGAGATGTTGGGCAAGAAATCTTGCCATGCCTTAGTTTACTGACCAGCAAAATGGGAACGATATCTGCTTCCTTAGATGATTGAGAAATGCTTATGACAGAGTAAGCTCTGAATAGAAGTTATAATTACTTTCCCAAGACTGAGTTCAGTATGTGGACCAATGTATGGTGAATCAGGACCAAGTCCCCAGCTAGACAGTGAGGACTATGGAAGAACACTACTCTGCCTTGTTTGTCATAGCCAGAAAATGTCAGTGGCTCATTAGGTAAGCTACTCCTCCACTCCAACAACCTCGTTAGAAGACTTGTGGACTGCGTAAGACTGTTTTAGAAACCATATCTGTTGGCAGTAAAAAGGGGATATTAGCATTGGGTATTAGACTCCCAGGTTGCCCTTATATTTTTCCAGGGATTGGGCAGTCTTTGGTATTCCCTTACATCATCACTTAATGGCTTTATTGAGTTGGGAAGCCTTGACAGTTTCCCCCTGGGTTAGACCTGCTGTCAGACAAGTTGTTACCCATTTAGATCTTCAGTCTTCCTATCCTTTTCATATATGACGATTACCCCAGAATCAAGAATCAAGTGTTTTGAAATTCAAGGTGAAAATTCATGGGAGTCATTTTCTTTCCAGTGAAATGACAATCCTGTAAGGAGGCCACTTCGTAAAACAAACTACTGTTTGTGGTCAGAAGTGCCCTGTGTGTCAAAGATTACTTGGTCTACAGTCCAGTTCCTTAGCCCATTACACAGGGTTAGGACTATCCCCACTAACAGATGGCCTTGAACTGTTCCAAACTGCTGGTGCACTTGCCCTGAACAACGTCCACCTTGTCCAAGGCTGTGTTGAGGAAAAAAGAAATTATTTTCTCTTCTACTCTACTTTCTATTCCCTGCCCCTGGGTTCTTCTTTCTGTCCTAATTATTCCTAGCCTTAGACACCTTGTGTGTCTAACTTCATTAGCAGTTCAGTGGAATGTCTGATCTGATGAATCTTTTCTGTGACTGAGAGAGCCGTGGTGGAGAAGTCAGAGACTCACTGACACTCAACGATTCTCTTGGTGGGTTTTTAGCTCCTGCATTTGAAAAGTAATAAATACCTAACTGTGAACAAGCGGCTTCCGGCTCTGCTGGAGAAGAACGCCATGAGAGTGACTTTGGATGAGGCTGGAAATGAAGGGTCCTGGTTTTATATTCAGCCGTTCTACAAGCTGCGATCCATCGGAGACAGTGTAAGTATAAACTCCCAACTTCTGCAGCACTTGTGGCTGTGTTTTCAACCATCACTGTGTTCCAGAGGCAACTAGGAGAGTTTTTAAATGTTGGAACCAGACACTGATCCTGTAGGAAGAGACTAGAAGGGAATCACTATGGAAACCAGTGTTTGAGAAACAAGGAAAATTGGAGAGACTTGTGACCTAAATGCAGAAGCTATGTTGTTCTGACTGGGCTTCCACACAAAATTCTATGAACAGCCCATTCGCTCAGTAACACAAAGCCAGCTATCGTGTATTAATGTTCCAGGGACCATCCTGCCATTGTCAACTCATTAGTGGACTAGAAACACCTTTCTGTTTTGGAAATAAACCTCTAACTCATGGTTTGTTAAGGAAGGAAGACAGAAAAGATGTAGATCTAGCAGGGAAAGAGACTGGCTCTTGGGATTCTTCTTACTGGTTCTTTTGTCAATAACCAAGCAGGCTCTCAGCCCATTCTGGTCTCTGAGGCTAACCCTTCACCTGAGGGTCAAAGCCGCAGGATTCCCTTACAGTGCTACATAAAACAGATGATCCTACTAGCCCAGTTAGTAAGTTATTACATGGGCCTATATTTACCAGTGAATATGTTTAAATTCTCTAAGTTTATTTCTGACCTTGTTAAGACTCTCAAATAGTTTCTTGACTAAAAAGAAATATGTGCTTAAGCAGTGTGAAAATTTCCCCAAATACTGAGCTAATCTTAACCTAAGACTGTATTTTGTTATTTTTTTCAGTGTCATCATTTAAGTTTATCAGCATTGGGCAATCTAGAGATGTGTTAATTTGGGCGTTTGTGTGTGTGTTATGTGATATATCGTATACCACAAGCCTGTAATACAAGATGATACTCTCACACTTGGCGCACCATAAATCTTGATCCTTAAAAGGAAAAGTCCAGTAAGAGTTTTAGTTTATTTACTCAAGTGTTTACCATACATTCATTTGTAGTTTGAAAAAACTTAGCTCACATATGCTTCCTAAGTGTTCCCAGTGAAAGCAGATGGGTGTTACATGATAGGACACCAATTTCCCACTCCCCTTCCTTTTTGTGGTTGTTGGGAAGTGCCGTCAAGTTGGTTCCCACCCATAGTGACCCTGTATGGTTTCTAAGGAGCAACTGGTGAGCTTGAACCACCGATCTTGCTGTTCAAGGTGACTTTGCAGTTCAGTGCATTAACCCACAGCACCACACCAGGAGTCCCATCTTCCTTATGTTGTTGTTGTTGTTATGTGCCGTGGAATCGGTTCCAACACATCATGAACCTGTACAGGGTTTCCGAGGCTATAAATCTTTATGGGAGCAGAAAGCCTCCTCTTTCTCCCACGTAACAGCTGGTAGTTTATGCCATACTAAAAACAATGACAGCAACAGCAAATAAGTCTTGTTTTGACTTTTATCTTCAGCAAGTCCTTTGCTTTCTTATCCTATAAACTGATCTGTTTATCTATGAGGTAGTTGAAAAATGTGAAGGGAGAGCATCTATTCTTTTTTTTTTTTTAGTTTTATGTTCAATTTATTCATACTCTGCCTCATTTCATTAATTGCATTCCCCTCAATGTGTCATCATTTACCCACTTCCTTCCTTTGTTCCCCATTTGCATTCTCTCTCTCTCTTTTTTTTTAAATTTAAGGTTTTTATTGTGGATTGAATGAAAGTTTACAGGACATATAATCAGTTTCACATTCAACAATTCATATAACTTGTTTCATTACATTGATTATAATCCCCTCTATATACCATCAGTTGAAAGTATTTCTCTCTATCCACTTTAGCTTTTTAAAACACACACACACACACACACACACACAAAAAACAAAACAACAACAACCCACTCAGGCATATATAATTTACATCTTCAAAGTGCACATTCTGCAAGTCTGCTCCTGGCCACCAGCTCTTAGTCCTTCTCTTCTTAGTCCATGAATCTAGAGGCCTCAGCCACTACCCCTCTCCATGCCCCCATCTCTGCCTCCATTTCTGGCGCTGCTGCTACTCTGGATAAGGTCCCGCACCTATTTGACGTTCCTCTCTTGATGGTCCTAGGGTCCTCTGTTTCTGGACTGTAAGATTAACCACTCCCCTTTTTTTGTTCCAAAACTTCTACCTTTACAAGTGTGACAGTCACGATTAGTCATGATAACAGTTATTCACTATTGAATCTTACAAATCTTATCCCCATCTCCTTTCACCAGACCCATCTAGACAGGATGATAGCTATTCAGTGGGGACTCTTTCCTTCCCCCA